ATCTCCTACACACTTGCCTCTATTAATCTGCAAATATATTAATAAATTGCCCTATCTGGGACTCGAAGCCCAGACCTCTGGAAGCATTAATTAACTCTTGATCAACCAATGGGCTAAGGGGCACAATATAAATTATTTAACTTATGAAAAAAATAGTATTGCGTCAAAAATTCTAAATCAACTATAGATATAAGTCGTACTCCGAAAATATATTTAAAAAAAAAAAAACAAATTGACATGCCTACATATTGGAGCAGTGGGGTAAACCGGGTCAACCCAAGACAACCGGGTCAAATCTGGTTTAGTTGGGCCATAAACGGCACTGCATCGGACTCGTTAGGTTGATGGGAAGGCTCTGCTTCTGTTGTAGGATGCTGTTTGTACATCAGATGCCTTGGTCTGATGGGGAGTGATCAATGGGCTCCTCTCCAAATTGTTTCTTCACCTTTCAACTTTTGGATATTTTCTTAATCTCCATGAACCTGATTTTGCTCGTTTTACGATCAAAACTTCCTCTTTAAGTCTCATTCTTCATGAGACATGTTCCAAAACTTAGGAAGAACCAAATTAATGCAAATGCTCCCTAAACATGCCTAAAATGAATGTGAAATACAAGAAAAAGGAGAAAAATACACAGCTAAACTGATAAAAATCACAAGATATCAACAGGTAAAAGTGAAAGTTCTGACTCAAATGTACATATGAGTCTCCTGTGTAGTTCCATCGACATAAATGACTATTGATAAAACTTTGACTCTCACCAATTAACAAATCAGATGATAAACATTCGAGTAACATCAAGGTTATTATGTTACAAATATCCAATGAACTGGAGAGTTGAATCAATTTGAAGCAAGAGCGTTTAGTTTCTTTTCATAAAGTTTTGCCCGTCGAAGAGCATCTAATGCCTCAGCTTGTTTCCCTGCACGTTTCAAGGTCACAGCTTTTACCTTCTCTGCTTTAATTCGTTCCTCCAATTGACTTCTCTCTTGACTAATATTATTACTCTCCTTCACTGGGTTTGGTTTCGCCGCAGCTTGTGTTGTGTCTGTTTTACTTACCGGTGGAGGATTCACGGGATTGTCTAATCCAATAGCTTTGAGGGCAGACAAAAGTTGAGGATCGAGAAAATCTTCCACCGCTACATCGTCCACCGGTTCTGGTTTAGAGGATGTTGAATCTTCCAATTGAGCTTCAAGAGTTTTGGCGATTTCAAACTCAGCTTCAGCTTCCTGCATTTTACCTTCCCTCCGAAGCTTCATGGCTTGACGTTTGTGGCTTAGTGACTCTTGCTGCAGCTTAAAACGGTCTCGACCAGACATTGCCTTAGGAGCTGAACTTGAAGGACTATTTTCTTTCTCTCGAGCAGACATTGCCTTTGGAGCTGAACTTGAAGGACTATTCTCTTTCTCTCGAGCAGGAGGATCCTGCGTTGTAGAAACCATATCATCTCGTCCGAGCTTTTCAGGAGAGGGATTTTCTCCTTCTTGTAGTCTCCTCTCCAACAATTTTGCTTGTTGCAATGCCTTTTTGGCTTCACTTATGTTTCCTTCTCTCTTTAACGCAAGTGCCTTTTTCTTATGAGCCACAATTTCTTGTTTAAGGGTGTTCTGAGGAGATGTATTTTGAACCGAATCTGATTGAATATTACTGGGCTCTGACTCTTCACGTGCCACTCTTTGTTCAGTGCCGTGATTGTTTCCTGAGCTAAAGTCTGACTTAGTCTCAGGCTTTCCTTTTACTGCATGAATTTGAGACATCTCACTATGCTCACCAGTCAGCAAATCCATCATACTTGGTTTCTGCTGGCCTGTCTGAGAAAAAAAGCTAGAGGAACCGGATTTATCTGGGGAGATAAAGTCTCCTAACAAGTCATAACTATCTTGAGCAGCATGAGAAACACTCGCAGATTTTACTGCCTTATCTTCCATTTGCGATCCAACTAATAAATCAACATCCATATAGTTTTCAGGGTTAATTTCAGAAGCTAAGCCTTTCATCTCCATCTTGGGGGTTTCCAGTTCTGCTAGCTGTGCCTCCAATACACTGGCCTTACTATATAATTCATCAGCATCTCCAGTTTTGCCTTGACGCTTGAAGGCAAGTGCCTTTCTTTTTAAGTCAAGAAGTTCTCTTTGGATTTGTGCCTTGCTTTTGGCTGCTATGCCCGGACCAGTTGACTGCACAGAGCCGAAAGCAGCAGCTTCTTTCTTTGGTTCTTCATCCTCCCATCCCAAATTCTTAAGAGTCGACAATAATGCTGGGTCCTTCATATCATTTTCTGTAACGCTATCATCTCCTCCATTGATCCCACTGTCTGTGGCAAGATCATTGGATCGTTTTTTCAGCTGATCACTGTCAGCATAAAGATTCTTGCCTGAATCAATCTCAACCATCTGGGCTTCCAACATTTTTGTCTGGTTCAGAACTTCCTCGGCTTCATCAACATTACCCTGTCGTCGCAAAGTTAAAGCCTTTCTTTTAAGCCCTAAGAGTTCTCGTTGTATTTCAGCTTTACTTCTTCTTGGTTTAGTAACACGGACTTCATATGCACCTTGAGTTTCTGTTGATTTCCCTGGTCGAGAATTAACTGGGTCAGATTTTTCTGATGAAGTACCTGCAGAATTATTATCTTCATCATTCCAACCTAAGCTCTTTAGCATCGACAAGTAATTCGGATCATTTAACTCCTCATCTTTTACATCCACGTCTCCATCATCATCCAGAGAACTAATATCAGGCAGATCATGTCCTTTTTCACGGGTGGCCTTCCCTGTGGCAGCTAACTTTGACGAATTGTCCAGCTCATCAAGCTGATTTTGGAGAACCGCTCCTTTCTTCAATTCTTCTTCTGCTTCGTTAAACTTTCCTTCCCTTCGCAAAGTAAGTGCTTTCTTTTTCACTGCAAGAAGTTCTTTCTGAATCGCTAGCCTGCTTCTGGGAGGAAGTTTCAGACTCGTATCCCTCTCTGCCCTAGTTGTATCAACAGTTTGTGATGACGTATCAGCAGCCTCTAGTTCCTTCTCAAGTAATTTTGCCTTCTTTAGTGTAGCCATGGCCTCTACGACATTTCCAGCCCGTTTTAGATTAAGAGCCTCTCTTTTCAATGTCTGAATTTCAGCTAAACTTTCATCTTTGTTTTTAGAAGACGGTCGAGAGTGGACATTCTCACGGTGTCCAGGATCCTCACTCCAACCCAAAGATTTCAATGCAGCAGTAATTGCTGGGTCCTCCATATCTTCGTCTGTGACATCAAATTCGCCATGAACTCCAATATCATCTACATTTCCCACAAGGTTACTAATGTCGAAATCATGGCTCCCCTCATATTGAGCTAACAGATCATCTTCTTTGTCATCATCCATACTATTAATAAGTGCAGATAACTCATCATCTGATTCATCAGCACCACCCAAAAGTTCCTGCTCTTCCAGTTCCCTTTCCAAAATTTTAGCCTTTTTCAGTTCCTCTTTAGCTTCCGCAAGCTTCCCTTCACGTTTCAGCGCAAGGGCATTTTTTTTAAGGGCAAGTACCTGACTCTTGTCTATTCCCCCACTCTTCTGAGGGTTAGCCTTTCGGGGAATTTCACGGAGAAGAGACGAAAATTCACCCTCCAAACTTACAGTTGCTGGTTTTTTATCTTCATCGTCAGACCACCCAAGATCCTTCAGCTCAGCTGCCAAATCATCATTTCCTTTACCTCCTTGACGTGGAGGCTTTTGTGATTTACTAGATTCTTTCGTAGCAGCCTTGTTTTTCGTCTCAGCAACATTTCGCATGGACAGATCCCTTTTCCGATTCCTTCTTAAGGATATCTCTAATGCGTCAGCCTCTCTCTCAAGTTCCCTCCCTCTCTTAAAAGCTTTTAAAGCTTCATCAGATTTCCCTTCTCCTTTAAGAACTCTGTACTTATTCTTCTCTTCTACTGCTTGTTTACGCAATTCTTCAGGACTAGCTGACACAACATCCAACTCCATATCTTTATTACTACTACTGCTTGCCATTTCTTTAGAAGCAATCCTGTCTGTACTAGACACTGATTCCGATGAAGAAGATACATCAACATCAGAACCTAGAATCTCACTGAGAACATCATCCTCATTCTTCACAGTCCTTTTAGAGCTACCTGCTGAACAAATTCACAACCACCTCTTTACATCAAAAACTAGCAGATAACACAAGTATTATCGATAAGATCAGTACATTATATACCTTTAGCAGCTCTATTTTTGTAACCATGACGCAACTCAAACCGTGCAGCTTCTTCAAGTTTCTTACATGGTTCACATATACGAACCGCCGAGTCACCTTGTCCACGTAGTGACATCCTTTGCTGAGTGCAGGTTCCACAGAACAGTCCTCCACATCTTCGGCAATGATGCTACTCACTCAAAACCAAATCCAGATTAAGAAAAAATTAAGCAAATTCTAAAGTTTTAGGGAGTCACAATTCGTAATACACATGGAATCTATCAATTGACTAAGAAAATTACCAGAAACCGATGATTCAGTGAAGTTTTTCCGATAAACAGATTCAAAATTAGATCTCGAAGAACAATCGACTAAGACGAATCTAATTTTTGATCGCGATAAGAAATAAGCAAGTATCAATTGATTGAGAGACGAAGAAACTAAGAGAGAAAGACCTTGCGATTGATGAAAGTGAATTGAGAAGAACATCCTTGACAATGAGAAGCATCAACGACCCAACTATTTCCTCTCAGAGATGGCTTCGCCGGTAATCCGATCTTCTCCAACATTTTTCCGTCTGATTCTTCTCCTCCTCCGCCGCGAGACGAATTTGGTTTTGGTTTTTGATTTTGATTTTCCCGGAAATGTGAAAGATCGAGCCAAGAAAATAATCGAGCATATGAAGAAGACGAAGAAGAAGACTACTTTTTCTCCTCTATTTTTTTCAGAAATAAATAAATAATAAACCTTTACTTTTTCTTTAAATATTATTTTAATCAATACGATGCCATTTAGCTTAAAGTAATATATAAAGCAATTGTAGACAATTGGGAGAGACATGAAACTAACTTTTGCTTTGAGACGACGAAACGAAGTGAGAAATAGAAAACCCTAAAAATTGCTTATAGACGATAAACTCTGAAAATCTCAATTTGTTCACGATGATCGTACCAGTCCGTTGTTTTACTTGTGGAAAGGTTTGTTTTTTTCTCTCTTTTTTATACGAATTCGATTTGTTATATATATGTGTGACAAATTAAATCTCTAGGGTTTTTAGAATTGAAATTTACGAAGCTTTTGTCTATGATTTTTTTAGGTGATTGGGAACAAATGGGATACATACCTTGAACTTCTCCAGGCTGATTACGCTGAAGGGTAAGCGATTATGTTTTATGAAATCCTAGAATTTGTGTGTATGAAAGCCTAGAATTTTGAATGTTTTCTGACAAACAATAGACGAATACGATAATGAATATAATTTTGGTGGTTTTATGTTTTAATTATGTTCTTGAATAGTCGAAGAGATTGCATCTTGTATTGTATAGACGAATATACATGATGATGAATTTTGATGGTTTTATGTTAAAAAAAGAGGATAAAAAATTAAGTACGAAACTAGTATCCCTAGTCCTCTAAAAGAAATAATATGATGGAATGATTTGAATCATGTCCTTGTATATAGTCGAAGAGATTGCATCTTGTCTTGTATGACCATCTTGAAGTTCATAGATGTTACCAAAAGCATGATCAAGTTAGGTCACTGATAGTGTTTGATTTGGTAAACAGTTTTGTTTCTCAAATTGTGTTTTTTCTTTTCTTATAGTTGTAATCTGATCAGTGTTGAAGTTTATAGATGTTATCTTTGTTAGTAAAGGAGCATGATGGTAGGTCACTGAGATTATGAGATATTCCTTTCTCTTGTTTATATCTCTAGTGTAATCTTTAGCCCTTTAATATAGTTTTAGGCGTTGTGCTACATGATTTGGTATATGCATAATTTGTATTCACACATTGCATTTTGTTGAACTGCAATTTGATTATTGTGTTGGAATATGTAGGGATGCTCTTGATGCGCTTGGGTTAGTCCGTTACTGCTGTAGACGTATGCTTATGACTCATGTCGATCTAATCGAAAAGCTTCTAAACTACAACAGTAATATCTTTAGACTCGGTTCTTTAGCCTTGTGCGCTCTACTTTTTATCCTTTTTTGTTTGTTAATTCGCTTACTCTATTAGAATATTTTTCCTTGCAGCTATGGAGAAATCTGACCCCAATTAAAGAAAGATGCTATGATGACGAATAACAAATCGTCAAGAGCAAAAGTGAAGGAGTGATGCATCTCATTCATGTGGAAGTCTTATCTTGCCTTTCTCTCTGAGGTTAATAACTAACAATGATGTTTCAAAAGTTTTGTTGAGTTTAGAAACTAGAAATTTTGATGTTATCAATGTTTTCTCATGTACTTGGTCTTGTAGATTCTTCATCTATTGATCTGCTATTGGTAATCTATTGATTCTTAAGAGTCTAACAAAACAGAGTAATACAAGTTACATAAGAATATAAAAACCCTAACGTTTGAAAACTTGTTCAAACGAATTTACAAGGGAGTCATCTTGTAATACACCATTAACAAATGAGTGGAAAGACATTAAGAAATGGGATTTGATTACTCTTTTACTCAAAGCAGAGGAAGAGCCAACTCCAACAATTTGTATGTTCTTTACCTTGGACATTGTCTTCTTTTCCTTCTTCATCGTATGCCTTGTCTGATTTCGAGTCACAACTGATTAGTACCTCTGTAGTATGGTCCATGTTGTCGCCTTCAGAATCTTCCAAGACCTCGCTGGGTTCAGAATCGTAGCTCCAATCATCGTCGTCATCTTCAGAAACTTGGTCTAATCTAGTTTTAGTGTTCCCATCACTGCTTTCCTCCACTTCGTTCGTCAAGATTCGCACACCACATTCAATAATCTCGCAGTCTTCATATGTGTAGAGATCAGAGATGTTGCGGAATTCAAACAATAACTCGCTGTTAACTTCAATGGATAAATCTTCTTCAAGAAAGTCACCATAAAAAATACATAGATGTTTCCTTCGAATTCCGGGGGATCCACGAGGATGTCCTACGAGAAACATTTTATGGATAGACCAACTGCTTTTCCCTATGATACGATACTGTAACTTAACATTTTTATATATTCTTCTGTGTTGATCTTGGATATGCGAAACTATGATGCAAGCCCTAAACCTCAAGGATGCAGAAGAAAGACGAACCATCACGGAGTTACCTTTGGCTCGGTGATTGAACTCACTAGGCATTACTCTTCCGGGTATGCAGTTGCTAAGAAAAGATTGTTGGATGAATAGTTTTCTTGTTTCTCCATCCAGTTTGAAGCAGTTAGTGAAAATGAGTTCTGCATTTGGAGAGTTTATAGGGAAGGTTACTCTCTCGAGTAACTCACAATTGTCTGCTATCAGGAGAAGAAGCCAATTAGGTAGCTCTGGTAATGATGTAAGTTTTCTGCAGCAAGATAGATAGATGCGTTGTAACCATAGAAGATCTTTGATGCAATCTGGAATCTTGTCAACATCAGTATAGCTTAGATCAAGCCGTCCTACGCATCCGGGGAAGTTTGATGCGTTCTTGTATTTTCCTCTTCCTCTTATATCAATATAATAAAGATGAGACCAATGCACAATCAATGCAGGCAATACATCTACCGATGTGTCTGATATATCGAGAGCGGTGATGTTGGTAGAAAAATTTGGGAAACTTGCCAGTCGTGAGCATCCAGCCATGTGAATCCTCTTGAGAGATGTCAAGTTGATGTTAGTTGGGATAACTTCCAGCTTTTGGCAAGAATTCATCATTATGTCCTCTAGTTTTTGAAGATTCGCAATAGATGATGGAAGCTCTACCAAACTCGTGCAACCGCTTAGCTCCAGTGTTTCGAGATTTGTAGCATTTGAAAGATCTGGGAGTTCTTTCAACTCCAGAGAACGAGACAAATCCATCTTCTTGAGATTAGTTAGCAACTGAATGTAAAATGTGACACAAGCAGAAAAATAAGTTTTAATTGTTACCAAATTTAGCACACAATCTCCAAATTTCCAAAAATAACACAAATTTAATATGAAAAAGACTAATATAAGCATTTGATTGACGTTTCACGCGATCGTATTATAATCTTGATTTCAAATTATAACACGTATATTAACTAACCTGAGTTCCTTCCCAGAGCTTCTTGAGTTGGCTATCTTCCATGCTAAGTTCGACTAGATTCTCCGGGCAAAATCTAAGAGGAAGAGTCTTGCTTGGGTATGCCTCCCAACGTAGTAACCTTAGAGGAGGTAGATAGTCCATCTCCTCAGGTATATGTGCATTCTAACATTCGCAGCATATGTTGTCTTGTAAACACTTAGAAAACGAAGATTAGACATTTTTCTAAGAGCTTTATCGCTTACAATTATTTCATTGATTCCTGATGTATCAAATGATATACCAGACACACCTCTTGTACCCTACATCAAATTTTGTACATAAAGAATTTGTTAGCACAATATAGGGAAGAACTTTTGTAATTTCACCAAGTGATTTTCTAAAAAGTGAAAGGAGCAAAGAAGTAAAATAAATATAGGAAAATGAACTTACTGTATTATTTTCAAGCACATCACAAATCTCTTGAGCATCAATTAAGATCCGGCGTTTCCAAGGCTCTTGTCTACGAATGGCTTGTCTCCCCATTTGTTGTAGTAAATTGTGCATCAATATTTCCCCTTTGCTAGATATATGTATCAGAGATTTATTTATTAGGATTTTTAACCCGTGTTCGATATCCAAGCTATTGTCAGCGAGCATGGCTTTCACAAGATCACCGTCTTCATAGTTGAAGAAGATTGCAATGTGGAGAAATAGTGTTTGCTCATTCTCATGTAAACTCTCATAACCGACTCTTAGTACTTCCTCGATCTCTCCATCCATAATAGTTTCTAGCCTCCTTACTATATATTTCCATTCGTCCTCATTCTTCCCATGTAAAGATGAACCCACCACACGTAGACCCAATGGAAGATTCCCACAAAGTTGTGCTACCCATTTTGCCATCATTAAGAAACTATGACGTGGAGAGCTTTGTTTAAAAGCATATCTACATAAGATCTTGAGAGCTTCTTCATCTGATGGAAACCCGACATTGTACACGTTGTCGATACCATGTCGATGCAAAATCTCTTTATTTTCAGTTGTCACAATAATCCTACTTCCAGGGCCGAACCATGAATTTTCATTAACCAAAGCCTCTAATTGCTTTACATCATTCACATCATCAAGAATGATAAGCACTTTCATGTCACATAGTCTTTCTTGTATTACACCTAAATGGGAGATCCTCATACCACTTTGGTTCAAAATCTTTGATAGCAGCTCTTCTTGTAAACGCAACTTAAAACCATACTCGTCAAAACCAATGGGATAGCTTCCCCTAAAGTTGTCCATAAAACAACTAAGCTGAAACCTATTGGAGAATAGATTTTTCAAAGCTCTAGCAATGGTAGTCTTACCAATGCCTGCCGGACCAGATATTCCAACCATCATAACTCCATCATTATCTAAATCTAGCAAAGACTGCATCATTCTCAAATGAGTCTCAAGTCCAACCATGTCATCAAAATCTCTTGATGGTGTAGCATTCACTTTATCTGAAACATCTCTTGCAATCTTCTCGATCATTTTGGCTTCATTGTCCCTGAAAAGATACAAAAAAAAAAAAAAAAAACAGAGAGATAAACATTCTTCTTTAATTTGCCACTAATTATTTATGATACTTATTTCCAATATTCATTAAGCAAACATTTTTCCTTAATCATTCTTATCCATCATAAAACACCATTAACAGTTGACACAAAAAAAGCACCATAAATATGTTTTTGTTTTTTGCTCTTAGGCTACCACTTAGAACTTAGAACTTAGAACATAAAGAAAAATAAATAAACTAAAGTTAATCAAGCACAAACCAGTTTCGGAAGTGTTCTCCGGCTATGTTACCCACATAGTTCAAAGCTTGGCTCCATTTTCGTCTCTCCTCCTCCGTTTTACGAGCACAAGTCTCATTGAAAGCACGCCCAAAATCTCCGGTCTGTTTACGCACATCATGTGGATCTACTCCATAGAAGACAGTCATCACTATTTGCCCTCTATCTTCCTTGCACTTCAAAATCTGTACCAATTCATCCAAACACCAGCTGGATGAAGCATAGTTCTTGGAGAGCACCACGATTGCGATCCTCGATTCATTAATTGCTCGTGTGAGTGCAGGGGCGATGGTTTGGCTTCTCTCGATCCCTTGATCATCGAACATCGTAATCCCGTTGTAGTTAAATTGTTTGCGTAAATGAGAGAGAAATGTTTTACGGACGTCTGGTCCATGGAAGCTAGCAAAGACGCGGTATGTCCAGATACGAAGAGGCAAAGAAGAACAAGCCATGAGATTCGATACTAGATCGAGTAGCGAGCAAAGTTCAAGACCACTCATAAAAATATGTCTCTGGATGAGCAATCATTGTCTAAAATAAATTATGGAGAAAGTGGAAAAGGTCTTCTATTCACCATTGACTTTTGACTTTTGAGAAAGAGAGATGTGAAGTTTCTACGCGTTTTCAAGTCCTTCAGCTTTTGGAAATACACCATAATGGTAAAAATGAAAAATTATTCTTCTCTCTTTTTAATCGATTTTGCTTTGAAAAAAAAAAATCAAATTGGAAGGAATCGTAGTTAAATAATTTGAAAATGAGTCTAAAACCATTAAACAACCTCTTAAGTCTAAAATTTTCAAAATTAATATTAAAACTAATCCTAAGAATTAACATTAAAAGCATCCTAAGAATTCTAATACATATAATTTAATTTAATTATTTCTTTTAATTTTAAATAATAATAAAAAATTAAAACCAATTATATGCTGACATATGTAAAAGTATTCTCAAAGGAGAATCGATTCTCGTTTCTCTCTCCCACTTTTTATTATTTTTTTAACTTTTTATTGGTGAGAATCTATGTGAAAACTCTCCACTGCACATGCTCTTAATGTTAACTCTTAGGATTAGTTTTAATATTAATTTTAAAAATTTTAGACTTAAGAGGTTGTTTATTGGTTTTAAATTTTATGTGTCTCTAATGGTAGGTTCTTAAGTTATGATTCTTAGAGGAAAAAAAGTATTAATTTAAAAAAGAAATTAAATAAACAATTTTAATTTTTAAAAACTTAATAATTGTTGCAAATGAAAAAATTTGAAACATACATGACATACAATTTATAACATAAATGACATAAAACTTAATAGTTTTGAACTTGATTTCCGCCAAATTTTGTTCATATATGCTCCACCAAATCCGCTTTCAATTGTTGATGCATACCTCGATCACGAAGTCGAGTTCTAGTGGTCATCATATTTACGTATTTTATTTTAGAAAATTTAATAATTATTGCAATTAATAAAATTTGAAACATACATGACATAAATTTTAAACATACATGATATAGTGGTGTTTTTAAAAATAATTTTTTTGAAAATTAAATTGGTACCAACGTTATGTTGGCCCAGTGGTAAATCTCCCAGGTGAAGGTACTGGGTTCGACGCCCGTTGGGAGGAATCTCTTCTCCAAAGGAAATGAATTTAACCTGGTGTGGGTCCCGCCTCTGAGAGATGTAGGGTCTTCGGGCTTGAACTTCCAGATATTAAAAAAAAATAAAAAAAAATTGGTGTCTTTTTTTTTTTTTGTGCACCTTTAAAGCGTATGAAATTTGGTGTCTAAATGTATGAATTTGGTGTTAAAGCGTATGAAATTAGTGAAATTGTATGAAATTGGGAGATGGAGATGGAGGTAGATTAGTGTTAAAATACCTTCAGCGAATAAGAGGCCGACACATCAGCGTCTCTTAGAGACTAAAAAAGCTCTTAGCTAAGAGCCAATTCTTAGCAATATTAGGTATTTTGATTTAAATTTAATCTCATTAAACCTAAGAGTCCTACTTTAAATCCCCCATTGGAGATGATTTAAGGTCTTTAAAGATGTGATTACTCTAGTAACCCTCGTTAGAGTGGGTTTGTAAGTTTATTGAATAATTATATGACAAATTAGTCTCGTAGTCTGGTAAAGTAGTAAGGTATAACACGTACAAATGATTTATATACGTGTGCTCGAAATATCTTTTTTTTCTTTTTTTCTTTTTTTTTTTGACATCACAAAATATCTTATTTTTCACAAGTTCATTTTCCAGGTATATATGATGTAAATATTTATATATCAAAAGATATAGCAAAATCGACCAACATAATATTGAAAGCCATTTTATAGAATGAGAATGAGATCAAAGACTCATATACCCATAAGATCACATTTTACATAATAAAAATCAAGATTCTTTAGCTTTGATCAATCCTTTGGACTCGAAGTACTCTATCATCTGATCATACATCTCATTGATCCCATATTCGAATCGAAAGCCTTCATTGATAAGTTTTTCCGAAGATAGTATCAATTTCGGAATCGACAAGCCCTCTTGGAATCTGCCAAATTTCGCAAAACAAAAACTGATTAGACAAAAAATAATTGAATTTTCCATTAAGATTTTCGCAATTTCTGTAGAAAATACGCGTACTCTGACAACACATTGTACTTAGGATATCTCTGTATGAGAAGATCAGCAATCTCTGGAACACTTGTGTTGTAAGCACAGCATATGTAGCGACCAGAAGCAGTTTCTTTCTCCGCAAGAAACAAATGGGCACGAGCTAAATCGTCTACGTGAACGAACGAGATCGAGCCAGATAGCTTCTGCATTTCCTTAAGACCGGTCACATGCATTTCTTTCCCTGACACACAACACAAAATCATCTTGATTATTTATCGTGAAACAGAATGGGATAAAATGGTAAATTTGTGTTTACCGGTGATTAAAGACATCGAGAGAGATAAACTGCTCGGAGGATCGGAGAGGAGAGAGTTTCCGGCTATAAGTGCCGGAATCACGGTAACGAGATCGATCTTATTCTCTTCCGCAAATTCCCAAGCTGTCTTTTCTGCTAACATCTTCGAGATTGGGTAACCCTAGAAAAGAACAGAGAGGTAAGTTAATAAGCTGGTTTATGTAAGAAAAAGCCTAGCTTGTGGGACAAGAAACGTAATTACCCAGTTAAAAGGCTTCTTCTCTCTGAGAAATTCAATGTCAGTCCAGTTTTCCTCATTCATCACGAGTCCGGTTCCAGAATCATTGTTGATGGAAACAGCAGCAGCTGAAGATGTGTAGATCACACGCTTGACTGATTTCGATTTTAAGCAAGATTTAAACACATTGATCACTCCTTGTATCGCCGGCTTGATCATGTCTTCCTGTATATTGAAACAAAAAAAACAAGAATAGCTTGAAAATGTTTCTCTTAGAGTAAAAAACACAAGCCTGCACATTCTGTTCAAGATAGACCTCGGGATCTTCGGATTTAAAGTTGATCGGCGTTGCTACATGGAAGATGTATTCACAGCCCGAGAATGAGGAATCAAAACTCTCTTCATCAGTCAAATCCGCCTTAAAGATCTTGAGGTCGCCAAGTTCTTGAAGTTGCCTAAGGTGAGCTATTTTCTTCTCGTTTTCTGCAGTTTCAGAATTAAAAAAAATCCATTAAACATTCAAAATGCATCAGAAGAAGTTAGATAGAAGAAGAAGAAAGTGAAGAACCTGGATCTCTAACTGTAGTGTTAACTTTGTAGCCACTTTGAAGCAAATGCTTAATGAGAATAGAGGCTAAGTTTCCCGTGCCACCGATAACACAAGCCTTCTTCGCTCCGGTGTGTGTAAGAGTCTGGTCCATGATTAGTAATCTGATCTTACTTTTAAAATTACAGAGATTGAGATTTGGTTGTTATGAGTTTAAAGGTCTTGGGACTTCTATATAAGAAGTAAAAAAAAATGCAAATAGTCTTTGCTCATTTGGTACAACCATAGATCAATAAGACTTTTTTAGAAGGTAAGCTCGTGATCTTTGAGATAACCAATTTGTCTTCACCTAAGAATCAAACAAAAGATTTGACTTGCTGATTTGTTAGCATCTACCAAATTATCAGAAGGTTTTGATGATTTTTGTCACCAAACAATATAACAAGGTTTTTCTTTGCCGATCTTAAAATGAGTTACAAAAGAATGTACTGTGTTGATGTTTTTTTTTTTCAAATTCTCTGCAGTTTTTTACACGACTTGATATGCTCTGTTTCACTAGTTACAGTGGACTCAATTCAACAAAACTTCCTCTGTTCTTGTTCATGTTTCACATAATGGCCTCAAGCTTTGGAAAAATTAACTACCATGGTAATTTATGATATAAAGGCTACAAATCCGAAACAGAGAGTTAAACAAAGATAACACCAAAAAAAAACCAAAAGTTACATAGAAAGATAACAGAGAATAAGAAGAAAGGTAAATCCTAAATTCGAAAACAAAAGAAGGCAATGCATTGCAATATGTATCTAATGGTTTTTCTTCGAAGCTTCAACGATCATAGACGTCAACTCCTGCAAAAACTTCGTCTTCTCCAATACAAATTCAAGCTCCTTAGCTTGCAACAACTTGAACTTCTCTTCAATAATCTTCTTAGTCTCAACCGGAACCAAACTCCATTGTTGCTTCACATAAAACTCATCAACACCTAAACCAGTAATCATTCGAACAAGAGACGAATTATCAAACCAATCACCTCCATGAACCAACACTTGCTTATCATCACCACCACCATCTTCAACTTTTTTACCATTAGTATTTGAAGAACCACCACCAACAAAAACCAACTCTTGCTTAACAGAATCAATCTTCTTCTTCTTCGCACTCTTTTTCGATACACCATTCGACTTAACATTGGAATCAAGAGCAATCCCTTTAGGTCCCCAAATAAACTTTGACAATTCAAAAGCTTTCTTATCATGAGCTTTCACAAAACTAGGTTCTTTTCCTTCTTTACCAATATACTTCTTCCTTAAACTCCTAATCTTATCCATGAACTGATTCTTACTAACCTCAAAGCTAATCGATTTCTTGAGAAATTCGTAAAACGCATTAGAATCTTCATAAGGAGACTTCCCTGTATCAGCTTTGAAATCAATCATTCCTTGTAACACTGAGATTTCGTCTTCTTCACTCCATAGTCTTTGAAAAGCTCCTGGTTTCTTTATACTCTCTTCGTCTTTCTTCACACGTTTCGTTGAAGTCGTCGTCGTAGCTTCACTCGCTGGCCGTTTTGTTCCTGATTTCACCGCCGGTAAAGCTAAAGCAGCGGACGATGTTGGATCTTCTTTCTTCTTTTGATTCACAGCGGAGACGGCGATTGTTTTGCCAGATCCAGAATTCGGTGGATTTGTTGATTCAGAGTCTGAATCTGTTTCGGTCTCGGATCCAGAATCTGAATCGGCGGCGGCGGTGGATTTTGCTGGAGCAGCGGCGGCGGTGGTGGTGGTGGCGGCGGAAGGGGTTTTGATTGGAGCTTTGATTGGTTGTTCTTCTTCAGATGAAGATGAATCGTCTGAAGCTTCTCCAGCTTCTGAAGTCTCGACGTCATCGTCGTCGCTTGAAGAAGCCGTTGGTGGATCTTCTAAAGGATTGAGTTTCTTCGTCATCGGAATTTTCAAGGAGGAAATCGGAATCTTCGAGAGAGAGAGAGAAGATTTTAGGGTTTGTGAGGAGACGACGGCAAGTTGAGAGAATATAAAGGGGAAAAATGTCGTTTTATCTCCCAACTTTCAAAAAGTGGCCAATCAATACGTCAATTTCATATGTGGCCATTTAAAACATGAAATAAACGTTGACTAACGTATGAGACATGGAACTTCGTTGACCAGGCCAAAATAGACATGCCGTTATCAGTCGTTAACGGAACTTCTAACGCCCGTTATCACCCGTAACGACTCTGTTAATCAACTTTCAAATTGTGGCCATTTTAAACATCAACTTCATATGTGGCCATTCAAAACATGAACTAATCGTTGACTAACATTTGAAACATTAGAATTCGTTGACCAGGCCAAAGTAGACATGTCGTCATCATTCGTTAACTGAACCTATAACATCCGTTATCACCCGTTAACGACACTGTTAGTATGTCCAAAAAGATTTTTCCCAAATGAAAACACCAAATCCCCAAATCTATTTCTACAACAGCTCAAACAAGATGAATAGTCCTATTATCTCTATCTGCATTTCAGAAAAGCTACATTTAGTCTAGGCCTGGGCATAATACCCGAACTCGAAGAACCGAACCGAACCCGACCCGAAAAATCCGACCCGAACCCGAACCCGAAGTTTTAAAATACCCGAACGGATTCTAAACTTGACAACCCGAAAAACCCGAACCCGACCCGAACTCGAACCCGAACAAGTACCCGAACATACCCAAAATATAAGTACATAGTTATAATATATTAGTAATATTTATACTTGTAATAACCTAAGTGCCAAAATTATTCGGATGTTAAGATATTCGGGTGTTTTAGCTACTTTGGGTTAGATTCGGGTTAAAATATTTGGGTTTTATAGATTTTTTGATTATTTTTCAATACTTTGCATAGGTCGGATACAAAATTTCTAATATTTGGATACTTTGGGTAAACCTGAATCCGAACCCGAAATACCCGATCCGAACCCGACCCAAACCCGAAGTTTTAAAATACCCGAATGGATCTTAGTTTTCTAAACCCGAAAAACCCAAACCCAAAAAACCCAACCCGAACCCGACCCGAATATCCGAACGCCCATGCCTATTTTAGTCCTATGATGGGTCTACAAGTTTGCTTCCATGATTCCTTTTTAGATTTAAAACAAATATATAAACAATGTTTGCTTCCAATTACTGGCTCTACGATTGTCTATATATCAAACCATGTCCTTGGATTATGCTTTAAACAAAAAATTTGTCCTGATTTTCTCTTGATTATTTTCAAAACGACGTCGTTTTGGATATACTAACAGAGTCGTTAACGGGTGATAACGGATGTTATAGGTTTTTTTAACGAATGATGACGACATGTCTATTTTGGCCTGGTCAACGAATTCTCATGTTTCAAATGTTAGTCAACGATTAGTTCATGTTTTAAATGGCCACATATAAAGTTGATGTTTAAAATGGCCATAATTTGAAAGTTGATTAACAGAGTCGTTACGGGTGATAACGGGCGTTAGAGGTTCCGTTAACGACTGATAACGGCATGTCTATTTTGGCCTGGTCAACGAATTTCCATGTCTCAAACGTTAGTCAACGTTTATTTTATGTTTTAAATGGCCACATATGAAGTTGACGTATTGATTGGCCACTTTTTGAAAGTTGGGAGATAAAACGACATTTTTCCCGAATATAAAGGTGTTAACTTTAGTTAAAGTGGTTGCTGTCTTCCAATAGATATTCTAGGGTTTTTAAATAATTTTTTAGTAATTTAATTATTTTTGGTCAAAGTAATAAGAATTTTTAATAGATTCATTCCGGTTAAGGGTGTCAAGTTGGTTAAACCAAACCAATCCAATCTATATCCATATGAATTTAGTGTCTAATGGATAACGAGTCAATCCAATTCATTTAGTAAATGGTTTGGATGAAACCATAACTCATTTGAATTGTTGGATTCATGGATTAAATGAGTTTATCCATTTGATAATTTTTCTATAATCTAAATAATTATCATAATTAATAATTACTAACTATGATACTATAATCATCACCATCATCATACCATCATCATTTCATTATCATTATCATCATCATCTCATCATCATCATCATCATCATCATCATCATCATCATCATCATCATCATTATCATGACCAGAGACTTGATCGGCAAAATAGAAGAACCAGACCCTTAAGTATCGAAGCTTCTAAAAACCCTTTAATGGCGAAGATAGATAGATCGATGGTGAGAGAGATTGATGGTGGTGAGAGATTGATGATGGTGAGAGATTGATGAGGCTGAGAAAGAGAGAGATCGGTGATTGTGAGACTTACGACAAATTTAGGTTCTGTTTTGGTTTATCAAATCGGTTTAGACATTCAATTCGGTTAGATTCGGTTTAAACATTTGATTTAAAATGTTTAATTTCTATTGGTTTGATTATGAGTAACCACTAATCCATTCTAATCAAAATCATTTCAATCCAATTCATTAAACTCATTAATCCATTTAATCCATTAATCCATTAAGATCCAAATTTTACATCCATTAGATCCATGGATTGGATTGGTTTGGATTGATCCATCAATTTCAATCCATTTTGACACCCCTAATTCTGGTAAATGTATTTATTGTTTGCATAAATGTGACTATTTTTTATTGGAAGTATTGTAATTTGTAAATAACTAGATATAACCCCGCGGTACACCGCTGGTCGATTTTTTTATAACTAAAAAATTATTTAGCAAAATTTTAAATTGTATTTTTTTTGTTAATATTGTTTATTTTGTTTAGTGTTTCTGATTTTATAATTAAATTTTGATTTTTAATTCTAAAATTTCATTCATAGTATATTGTTTAATATTAATATCGATCTAAACCCGTTGCACCATATAACCCCGTCCCGTAAAATTAAACATCATTTGTTATTTTTTTTTAATAATATTTTTATCCACTATGGATCGCAGGTTCATGCGGATAAGCCCGTAGAGAGTTGCGGGTTTGCGTGTCGATCCGCCAAAAGAGAAGCTATCTTTTGAAACATTTTGTTTTATTTAGAGGTTTTGAGAAAGTATCCCTAAAAATAATTTTCATTATATGAAAAAAAAAAAAAAGAAGTAGAAGAAATTGTAATATCAACATTCCCGATTTTTACATCACTCGTTACTATTAAATTTTTTTTTTTTGCAGATAAAAGTCAGAAGTTAACTAAGTCGAGATTTTTAAAAAGATTGTGTAGAGATTTTTGGTAAATTGTTAAGAACATATTTGATTTCAAAATCTTTACTTAAATAGATAAGGAAATATTTTATAGAGACTTTTGCTAAATATATATGAAAATAAATTTCATTTAAAAATCTTTACTTAAATAAAACAAATCTAAATAATTAATGCTAATAGCATGCCATTGTAAATACTTCTCAACTTCAGGATTTATTTGCTAATTGTGATCCAAAAAGGGGAAAATGTCATTAAAATCCCCAATTTATTCAAAACGTTGATTTAAATCCTCAACTCATGACGAAACGAAATAAATATCAAACTTATGTTGACTTTCCAAATAAATATTAAACTTATGTTGACTTTCCAAATAAACACCAAACTTTCATTGACTTGGCCATATTAGGCATGACGTTAAGTGAGTTAACAGACAATGTTAACGGGATTAATTTTCTGTTAACAGACCCGCTAATTAAAAATGACAGTATTGTTGAACTATAATCAAAATCTCATCTAAGTCATATAACCTAAAGTCGTATTCATATAAGTTAATTAGTTATTTACGTAAGAGTCACGAATGTACGTACGTATAGTTGTGTATGTTCGTAAAGTTGTGTCTTTTCGATTAACACAAGTACGTACACGTTGTTTCGTGTTGTATAAGTAGATCGAGTCAAACTCAATAACATCATTGTGTGTAATACATTTTATCTTATCAATAAAGATCAAGTTTCTTCATACTCTATTTTTCATTTTGGTTTTGTTCTTCATACTCTGTTAAAACAGAGTTCGTTTGTTGATCAAAACACCAACAAGTATTCCTTCTAAACATAAAACGACATTGTTTTGTCGTAACTATTCAATAAAATTCCGAGTTTCAAATCATACTCTATTTAGGGTTAGGGATTTTGCTCGATTTGGGGATCTAAGATTGACTTTAGGGATTTTATTTCAATCGTTACGACAAAATGACGTCGTTTTGTTGTTATATGAAACAATGTCGTTATCAATTAACATATATGTTAACAGAAAATTACCTCCGTTAACGAGATCTATTAACCCACTTAACGTCGTACCTAATATGGCCAGGTCAACGGAAGTTTGATATTTATTTGGAAAGTTAACATAAGTTTGATATTTATTTGGAAAGTCAACATAAGTTTGATATTTATTTCGTTTTGTCATGAGTTGAGGATTTATTAACCCACTTAACATCGTACCTAATATGGTCAGGTCAACAGAAGTTTGATATTTATTTGAAAAGTCAATGAAAGTTTGGTGTTTATTTGGAAAGTCAACATAAGTTTAATATTTATTTGGAAAGTCAACATAAGTTTGATATTTATTTCGTTTCGTCATGAGTTGAGGATTTAAATCAACGTTTTGAATAAGTTGGGGATTTTAACGACATTTTTCCCGATCCAAAAATGTATATATAGATTCTAGGGAACCCAAAGGAAAGGAATAATTTTAAAGAAGAAAACAAATCGAATCAAAAATGTGTAGAAATTATATTTACAAGTATTAAAACACTTGTAACTTGTAACAGTGAGAAAGAGACTTGTGTTACTATTCGGTTTTTTTCGGTTCGGTTTGATCGATTATTCGGTTACTGGTTTTTTGTCCAGCCCTAAAAATCTAACAACAAGTCAACAAGTAAAGAAAGATGATGAAGAAGAGAAAGTTCATCGATGAAAGACTCTACTTCTCTCTTTACCCAAGAAAAAAAAAATTATGGGCTTGAGCTTATACATGCCTAACTTCTGATCTTCTTTTCAATGAGGTGTAGTCCAGTTTGTGTAGAACCCACATGAATTACCAACAGGCATAGAGCCCATTTTTGACCCAAACACAATCAACTCACATAATAGAAAACATAACATGTGTCGTTGAAGATATATGGTTCAGGGTTTGTGTAGTAACTTTTCTTGTATTACAAAATAGTAACAAAAAATCAAATTGAGTCACAAAATAGAAAACTAACTAAATTTACAGACTATTATTTTTTTTTCAATATTTTCTCTAACTTTTTGACAAAAATTAAAACCAAACTAATTGGTGTTTACTAGAATTCTTCTATATGGTTTAGATGTAGGTTTTGGGAAGCGATTAGTTCCAGCAAAAAAAAGAATCAAATTGATTAAAACTAAATTGTAAGCTGGAGATGATTTAGCTTAGGATCTTTGTATCAGTTTGACTTAAGATTTACATAAAACCGAAACGTTGTTCGTTGGGTTAGGTTATTTATTAAATTGGCATGGTGAAACACTATATTAAGGAATGAAAGAAGAAGAAGAAGAAGAGAGAGAAAGAGAGATGATAAGTCTACCACATTACCACCATTCGTATACCTTTCTCTTCCTTTTTTTTTTTTTTTTTTTGCTCTTGATTTTGGTTCCTCTTGTGGCATATGCAATTTGGTTGGGATTATAGCCACAACCTCAATAGAATCTTAAGATCATGTGAAAATGTAGACAAAATTGACACAAAGGCTACCTAAGAAGTTAACTTAGGCACCGAAGTCATTCTTGGAACGAAGTTGGCTCTAGCGGTGTACCTTAGAGCCAACTCTGTTCCAAGCATCGATTCGGTGTCTTAGTGATCATGAGACTCTGGCTTAACCAGAGGCGGAGCTATAGCATTAGGAGGGGGGTCACTTGACCCCATAACTTTTAGAACTTGTGTTTATAAAGCTTAATTATTTGGTATTTCGTTTGTAATTTAGTTTAAAATATTATATTGACCCCCTTAATCCACGTTCAAATTTTATCTTTGCACCCCTTCGTTAATTTTGTTTCTTTCATTTAAGCATAGCTTTTAACTCTTTCCATTTCTTATATATCAATTTCCATGCTTCTTCTATTTCCTAACCCTATATTATTATTTTCCATAAGCATTGGCTTTGTTGAGTTGTGGTAACTGTGTTTTTATTATTTTCCTATTAATTGTTTAATATGTCTTTCCTTTTAAAAAAACATGAATTTAAATACGCAAACAATTAACTAATGTGGACACTAATATATATGTAGGTAAATAAATATTTTGAGTACCAAAATGATGTATATCATTCTTTTCACCAGTATTTTAGATAAAATTTAAATAGAAAACAATGAATAACATGTAACCTACTCGTGTATTTCACACAAAAGGCAGTATTAAGTTATATATATTATATCCAAAACAACAATAATGATATTATTTTTGGTTATATTTTGTTATTTGAAAAAATAATTTTTTTTTTGGGATGAAAACACTAATAGTAATACTTGTGTTTAGAAAAAAATTTAGCGAAAAATTTGACCCCCATACAAAATATTTCTAGCTCCGCCACTGGGCTTAACCAACTACTCAAAATTCGAGCAAGATGGTTGTTGGTTTGATATCAGGTCAAGCTCAAAGTGTTAGACATGGTTCCAAGTGGTTAATGAAGGCTAATCATTTATAAAGTCGGTTAAGAAGTTTGAGTTAGACATGGTTCCAAGTGGATGGAGGTTTGAGTTACTAACCGAGAGTCTTATTCACTTAATGTTTTTGTTGTTGATCATTCTTGTAATCTCTTCTCGGGTTTTGAGAGAGTTAGAGTATGATTGTTACTGTAACCATTAAAGGTGAGAGTGAATTGATTTGAGAGAATCAAGCCAAGACGTAGCGCTTCACACCTTGCGAGCTCGAACTCTTATCATCGACTTTTTCCTCTGTTTTTGCTCTGTTTCTGTTTATGATTCTGAGTGTTTTCATCATTTGATGAGTATAATTGAGTGAATGTGAGTCTATGAGTCACTGACAACAAGTAAGGATTTGAGGTTTGTTGATCGATTTTTCCTATGTGAAGTGACAGTAGCAATCTCAAAAATGGTCTTTAAGTTTAATGATGATATGGTATTATCATGATACACATATACAAATCTATTATGAACTATTAACCAAATCGATGAAGGAGCAACCAAAACAATATGAAGATGATATGGTACACATCTATTATGAATTATTTACCAAAGAAACCAAAACTTTATATATTTGGTCTCAACAAGGTAATTTGAAACCCATATACCTACTAGAGACAAAGTCGCTGCAGTTACCTACAACAAAACCGAAAACATAGTTTTTAAACTTGATATATAACAAAAACAGAGTATTTTCTGGTCAAGTCAAGAACTTGACTACGGATGTAGCTTGCACGGACAGATAGTAAAGTAATGCAACAGTCTTAAGGCAAAGGTATTGCATGACCTTGCTAACGACAAGACCGAATCATTGGCTAAAGCTCCAATATACCTACTGGTTATGGTTATGTATTTTACTTTCATTGGCTAAAGATCCGAGAGTGAGGAACGCCATGAGTCCATGACTATTGGATGTTGTTGATCACTTCAATTAATTCATTTTCAACAAGTTTATTTTTTGTTATTGGTCAATAACTTTAGCAACAAAGCTACTAGTAAGTCAAAATTAATTTCTTACGTGGCCAAAACATAACATGTGTCGTTGAAGAAAAAAATTGTTCATGCATGATCCTTGTCCCACAAATTGCCACACTCTAGTGCTCCCAAGTAAATCCTTCGACACATTATATGATAGAAAATATTGTGTCTTTCGTTCGACGATATTCTAAAATAAAATCACAAAAGAAAAAAGAAACATTATAAAAAGGAAGAAAGAGGAAGAAGAAGTGAAGTCTATTGCACTACCAGTACCACTCTTACACATTTCTTGTTCAGGTTGAATTTGAGAAGTTGAGGTAGGTTTACCAACTCTTGAATTTCTCACACTCTCGATCAAGTTTCTCTTATCGAGTTTGGTTTCTCAAACCCACCTCAAATTCTCCAATTCCACCAGAACCTTAAAAATCTTTAACACCAATCTCGTCCACCGAAAACTCATACGGATTGTAGTTGTGGGAGATACTTGGAGTATCTCCATTATCCAACAACAATAATCAGGATGAATTCTTGTGGTAGAGACGTAAATTTTTGATTTTCCGAAAATGAAACTTGGTTGAGATCAATGAAACGGCCTCAATATAGTTTTGAGATCATGTCGTCCAACAAAGATCTTTCCTACAAAATTTAAACTTGAGGGCTGCTTCAGAGTCAGATATGAAGACATATAACATGCTATGTTGTTGGAGGCCACACCAAGCGCCGCAATGTTCCAATATATCAAAGGGATTCTAAATCATAATGAGATATACTAGAACGTTGGAGCGGTTGATGTGACCTCCAACAACACAAGAATGGACATCATTTTGGCCTGGATGCACCCTCTGACTAGTTCGATTTTTACCCTACATATGGTCTGCAATACGAACATGTCACCGATGAAACCTTCGTTTGTTCTTCTTCTCTTTAGTAGTGTCTCCAGCGTAAGCATATGAACTAGAAGACGTAGAGTAGTTATAAGTAATAAATCTCTTTTAATCTTGAGCTTTAATTCGTTTCAGAACCAAGAAACCAGCTTATCTTTCTTTTTTTTTTTTTTTTTTTTTAAGAGTTGTGGTCAACAATGAAATTTGATTTCTCGTGAAGAAAGGAACAGATTGTGAGACCTGATCTTAATTTATTGAGAAGAATATCCTAAGCATATTTGTTTCTGAGTAACTCAGAGCAATTCTATAGTTCAAATCTCCTTATGAAGAAAGTAAAGTTGCCGGATACAAAAGCATAGAAAAAGAAAAAATCGGAATTGATCGATCTCTTTCTCGGCGATTGTGTACAGCATTAAGACGATAAATCTACACAAAAAAATGCATAGAATTTGATATTAAAAACTGAGTTTATGTCCACAACATAAATTTTATTTGACCATATATTCGAATGCACGAGATGTGCATTCTGAATAGTGATTTAAAAATCATACAAAATAAAGAAATAGAAAGCTTATTAACTCTAAATGACCAAATGGATGAAAAAGCAACAACATGATGATATGATATACACATCTATTATGAAACTTTTAACCCAAGAAACCAAAACTTTGGTTTTTTGGTCTCAACAAGGTAACTTGAAACCCATGTAACGACCAGCGACATAATCATTCCAAACATCAAGAGCCCCATAGCTTGTCATCAACACAATGCTCAATGCCATGACGATACAAACCGAGAACACGATGATCGAAGCCCTTCCGTACTCAGTTATTACCTTTTGAACCACCTTTAGTCCCACGAGTGATGCCACAAAACATATAACCGCGAATATACTTGCGGTTCCAGTATGTTCCATGCCTAGTAACAAGTACTGAATCGCAGACATTGTTGATGAAAACAGAACCATGAAAGAACATGTCGCTGCAGTTACCTATAACAGAACAAAAATAGAGTCTTGAAACTTGAGATCATCAAAAAACAAAGTATTTTCTAATCGAGCCAAGAACTTAATTACCTCGGGAGCGATACCGACTTGAAGAAGAAGAGGACTAATGAGCATTCCACCTCCAATACCAAAAACACCACCCAAAACTCCAGCTAAAAGAGCCATTACAGGAAACATACACTTGTTTGACCTTGCTCCATCATTTGATCTCAAATCTTCTACATCCTGCACGCACAAAATCGTTTTCGAACATTCATCAATTCTTTGTCTTTTTAAAAAACTAATCAAGTGTTTATTGGAGTTGTGTGAAATCGAACCTTTATTGAGACATTGTAATCTGATGGTTGTTGGCTTTGAACATTGTCACTGAAGCAGATCCAGAGAGTGAAGAAGAGAGTGAGTGGTATTTGAGACGATGAAATTAGCCAGTAGGCGTTTCCACATGGCTCGATCGATATGATTCCCTGAAAATACAAATCATGAACTCCTTAAAAAATGAAGGTTCAAAAGGGAATTTGTTTCAGTATTTTAACCAAGAATTTTCCTTTCATACAAATATTATTTTATCAAGTGACATTTTAATGTCACTGTAGAGAAATCTGTGCAAAATATTGAACTTTCTTTCTAGAAAATAAAATAAAAATAGTAGCCCCAAGCATCTTTGAAAGGGTAAGGAATATAAAAAAGTGCAAATCTTAAAGAAGATCCTAGGAACAAAAAGACACGTAAGTAGTGTTTGTTTCCCTTCGGACCAATCTCAAAACTAAAAAACATTATTGATGACCTGTCTTTCACGTGAACAAGTTCGCTATCGCTTTATATCAAAAAAAAGTTCCCTATCGTTTTTCAAACGCATCTTCACCACGTGATTCCAAGAAATAAAAACCATATTAATGACTAAAGAAAAAAAAAAATGTCATGAAGGTAGATGAGAAAAATTCAAACGTGTTTCATTTACTTCTCAAACAATAAACACAACTCTTAAGCTTCACCTAATTACTCCATAAACGTGATTTTGACATATACTTTCTTTGCCTAATCTTTTACGTTTAAAAGTTAAAAGAAATTTTTTTTTAATGATATATAAAAACCAACTTAAAAATAAAGAAGTACGTATCTTACAGAATCATCATTTTTGACATACAATTTTTATTCTCGGTCATAGTTATTTCCTTTTATGGTAAGAAAATTACTTTTTAACAAATAGTTTTAGAAAGTTTGGTTAGAGGTATTATTAATAGTGAAATGAAATCTACAAGTCAGCCAAATTAAAAATAATAATAACTCAATGGAAACAAAATTAACTATTCCAACAAAACAAATCACTCAGAAGTGTATATCATATGTATTCTTTCTGATAATCATATGATAAATTGGTGACCAAATAATATATTTCTTCTAGATAACTATGCAAAGTTGCAAGCCTTTTTGGCTTTTTCTTTCTTGTTTTTTTTTTCAATACTCCCTTAAATTTTCTGTGTTTTGTCTCTAGTCAAAATTGTCAATTCCGAATTTCAAACTTTTAAGCAGATCTAAAAGTCGTTAATTAAATACGCTTCATTAAATGCAGGCAACACTAATTCTAAGTTTCTAACTAATACTAATAATCAAATTAAATTAAACTTTTTAATTACCTCGCCATATTTGTTTCCACGAAGAAGATAAACTGCGAAGTAAGAAAGCCAAATAATGACCAAAACTCCAAGCTTAATCCATGGAAACCTCTTTGGTCTCTCATAATCCTCCAAGAGAGGCAACTTCAGACTCTCAATCTTATCTTCTTCATCGTCTTCTCCAATTCGATTCGATTCTCTAATCTTCACCATCTCCGATTCCAATCTCCAATAATAAAGTCCATTTCCAAAAGTCTTCAACGTCGACCACGCAAGAAACACAGCGAAGAGAGATGTAATCAACCAGTTCGGAAAAACAAGATTGCAGATCACACCAATACTAACTCCAAGAAGCATACATGGTTCCAATAAAAGAGCTAAATCGAAATCGATTAGGGTTTTGCCACCAGATTTAGGGTTTCTAACGAATAGATTGCATCCCACGTTAGCTATAGATCCACCAGTAACCATAAAAGCTGAGAAGCTTGAAGCTGTTTTTAGATCGAGACCGGCCACAATTGTCATTATCGGAACGTATAAACCTCCACCGCCGATTCCACCAGCGCTTGAGATTGATGAAGCTAGGAAAGATAGTAAGCCGGCGATGATTGTTGATGTTGTTAATTCGATTTTTGGTTGGTTGAATTTTGTTGAAAATTTGAGGTATGAGCTTGTTTTGTTTAGGAAATGATCGACGGGAGAAAGAATTGAAGGTTCTTGTTCTGCGATTGATGGAGTCAAGAAGATGATGAAGGTGATGAAGGAGAAAACTATAGGGACGAAATTGTTTCTCATTTTTATGTTTTGGGGTTTTTGGTTAATCTTTTAAAAGTTTTGGGGGATTTTAGGAGATGTTGGGATTTTTATGTATGTTATTTCTGTTTCTAACACTTTATATATAGGAGAGGGAGAGAGAGAGTGTGTGATGCTTGTATTGTCAAGTAGAAAGGCAAAATAATTATTAAATAGAAAGAAAAAGATAAAAAGAGGCAAATCAACACTTGGCAAGTGGTGAGAAATTGATATATACCACATAGATCTTATGGGCATTGTTATTTGCTCCCACCATTACATTTTTCTTTCTCATTACTTGTTAAATATTATATGTAAACGAGAAAAAAACTTAGGAAGGAGACTTTTATTTAAATAAGAACCACTGATCTTAAAAATGAGACTTTTGTATATTTTCAAAATATGTCACAGATTTTTTTATAGTTATTAAGTATTATAATTATTATCTACAATACTTTTGAAAACTGTTAGTCTCAAAAAACTTTACAGGAGAAATAGTATTAGTCCACTTCATCCACTTAAAAGAACAAAATGACAAGTGAATGATTTCAATTTCTCTGATTGATTATAGACAGTCCCTAGAAACTTCCAGACATCATGAACTGCTCAATACTAGAAATAATGCTAAATAATGAATACTAATGGTCTGGTTTTAACTCTCTTTTTTGGTAAAGAGTAAGGCTTTAACTATATATAAAGTTAGCTGTTTGGAAATTAAAAAAAAAAACGTTGTAACAACAACAAACAAGAAAAAGAAAGATTCAAGTTAATCATGAATCGCTGCATTCCAAATCCACACATAAAACAGTTTTATAAGAGATAATATAATCTTTTGATATATTAATTGCAATATGCTATAATTAATTTTGGTCTATGGAAACCTATAGTGATACCCACAAGCCAAGTGTAAAAATTTGTATATTTTGGAAATTCCAACTTCCGACCACATGCAGACAGTTTATTTTTCTTATGTCAACCCACATGCAAAAAAATTATACCATAAAAAACCCCACATGCAAGTATTTTTGTTTTTATTTTTGGTAGTGATCAGTAAATATATAATATATTATGTTTAATCAGATGATGAAACGAATGAGACATTCTCATGTTTTTTTTCCAATATTTGTCTAACTCAAGTAAGCTGGTAATTGTCAAAATCAATGTAATAGTTTATATGAAACTTTTATTTATTTAATGGCATTCTTATCTTTAGAGTCATGAGTTGGCTAAAAAAATAAACACTTATCTGTAGTGTTTCGTTTTATGTAGATCAACTTGCTCTTTGCATATACGACCATTGATAATTGTATATTGTATGTGTATAATGTTTGTCGACATTATTAACCAGATATTAATGGGCCTTCACTTATACGCCGACTAAGTTGATCTAGCTAGTAACCGATTATATGATCTAACACCGGTCAATTAGTCATTGTGGGCAACGGTTCTTCCATTCCTGTTTCCACCCTCGGTTCCTCTTTCGTTCCTACTAAAACAAAACCTCTCCTTCTCAATAATGTTCTTGTTGCACCGGATATTGTTAAGAACTTAATTTCTGTCCGCCAATTCACCAGAGATAATTGGTGTTCTATTGATTTTGATCCTTTTGGTTTCACTGTGAAGGATCTTCAAAGTCGGAAAGCTCTTCTCCGATGTGACAGCTCCGGTGATTTTTATTCTCTTCCTACTTCCTTCAATAAACTCAAGCTTCTTCTACTGCTCTTTTGGCTTCAACACCTGAGCTATGGCATAAGAGACTCGGCCACACCAATAACGATTCTCTTAAATCTATTTTTCAAACAAATCCTTCTCTTTATGAGAAAGGAAAATATCCTGTTTCCTGTGAACCTTGTTATTTGGGAAAATCAATAAAACTTCCGTTTGTGGCTTCTCAATCTGTTTTTTCCAAACCATTTGAAACTATTCACTCTGATTTGTGGACATCGCCTGTTGCCTCCATTAGTGGTATTCGTTATTACATTCTGTTTCTTGATCAATTCACACACTATCTTTGGGTTTATCCTCTTCGCCGAAAGAGTGAAGCTTTCTCAAAATTTCTTCACTTTTCTGCTTATGTTAATACTCAATTCAACTCCAAAATCAAGAATTTCCAGTGTGAAAATGGTGGCGAATACAACAATTCCGCGTTTCAAAATTACTTTGCTTCCAATGGCATCACTGCTCGATTCTCATGTCCTCACACATCTCAACAAAATGGCAAATCTGAGAGGATGATTCGAACAATCAACAATGCCATTAGAACCCTATTGTTCCAAGCTCGCTTGCCTAATACGTTTTGGGTCGAAGCACTTCATGTTGCAGCCCATGTTCTCAACATTACTCCTTCCAAAGCCATTCAAAATCAAATCCCATATACTCTTCTCTTTCAAAAACAACCATCTTATGATCATCTTCGTGTCTTTGGTTGTTTGTGCTTTCCAAATCTCAATCACTCCAATCTGTCAAAGCTATCGCCAAGAACGAATCCATGTTTGTTTCTTGGCTATCCTTCAAATCATCGAGGTTATCGCTGTCTAGACCTAAAAACAAATAAAATTATCATCTCTCGTCATGTTTATTTTGATGAAGAAAAATTTCCAGCAGCTGAATCAAAACCTCCGAACGATAATTATCATTTTCTTGAGGTGTCTGACGAGCCCTCTCCTCTGTTTCAATCGCTACTTCAAGCTCCTTTTCCAAATACTCTAGTTAACTATTTTAACTTTTAACTTTTTCTGATGGTATTTAGTTTTAAATCGTTATATAGACTCCTTGTAAGAATATGTAGTTAATATGTAAATCTATACTATATAAAAGTCGAGGCTATAAGCTCCTCAGGCTGTCCACGTGGGATTTTAAACGACCAATCGAGATATGACACCTCACTAATTAGCATTTTTAGATTTTATTAATTTTCTATATTAAGATTTTTTTAAAAAGGAAAAAAGTAGCATATGAAAATAAGAGGAATATATGGAAATATGGAAAATTTTCTAAATTTAATATTTTAGATGGGAATATATAAAATAAATTAATTAATCAAAATGTAAAGTTTTTTCTCAAATTTATTACATTTATAAACGAAAATAATAAAAATGTGTACAAAATTCTAAATATAAAATTTTAGTTAATCATAATAGTCTTCTTATTAATTTATTTTTAATTAAATTAAAAAGACGTCCACGTGGAATTTTAATTAATTAAACGATCCTCTTAATATACAATTTTCTATATTAATATTAATATAGAATTTCACGTCATTGAACCTAATGCTAATGGTACTTTGAGATGACAACGTACAATTGGTTTCATTGGATTAAAAACGACCAATCGAGATAAGACACCTCATTAATTAGCATTTTTAGATTTTATTAATTTTCTATATTAAGATTTTTTTAAAAGTGAAAAAAAAGTAGCATATGAAAGTAAGAGAAATATATGGACATATGGAAAACTTTCTAGATATAATATTTTATATGGAAATACATAAAATAAATTAATTAATCAAAACGTACTGTTTTTTTTCAAAGTTTATTACATTTATGAACGAAAATAATGAAAATATGTACAAAATTCTAAATTTAAAATTTTAGTTAATCATAATAGTCTTCTTATTATTTTTGAATTCTACAATTTTATATATTAATATATTAATAAAAACAAAAGAAAAACAATATATGGAAAGATGACAAATGTGAAGTATTGAAACAATAACATATAAAAATAAGACAAATGTAAAGTATATACCATCACATTAATTAACATTTCTGAGTTCTAATATTTTCTATACTTATATATTAATGAAAAGGAATAGAAAAACAATATATAGAAAGGTGACAAACATGAAATTTGAAACAACAACATAAAGAAATTAGACAAATGTAAATTATATCTTTCAATATTATCTTTGGCTATATTTGACCAAAGCTCTTTTTTTTTAAAGCAAATGTTGACGCAATATATACTAAATTAAAAGTTCATATAAATTTTTTATTAATATCTTTTAAAAAATGAAAATAAGAAGCTATAACCTTCTAAAGCTGTCCATGTGGGATATTAAACGACCAATTGTGATTAGTCATCTCGCTAATTAACATTTTTTCCATCTCATTAATAAACATTTTTAACTTCTAATATTTTCTATATTAAAATATTAATAGAAAGGAAAAGATAAAGAAAGAAGAGAAATGTGAATTTTTTAAACAACAACATATAGAAGAAATAAGACAAATGTAAATTATAGATTTCAATATTATATTTGGTTATATTTTACCAAATTTTCTATTTTTAATAAATTTTAATACAATATATTCCAAATTAAAAGCTCATATAAAAAAAGATTAATATATCTTTCTGGCTATAATATTTTTTTTAAAAAATAAGTTGATAATGACGTGTATATATATCATCATAGAATTATTCTTTTTCTTATAGATATCGTCGATTTAAAGAAAAACTTTCTAAAGTTTTCACTGCCTCTGATTTCGTATAAATACATTGATGAGGGTTTTCGTCAACTCATATCCGGCTACTACGTTTTAAAACTGTTCGGGTAGTTGGTGACGATATATCAAAATCACCGGCGAGCTTTCTTAAAAGAAAGTAAGTCGGTAGGTTTGTAGAAACGTCCATATGTTATTGTTTCATGATAAGAAGAATCACACAAAACTTTTAAGTAGAAGATGGAAAAAAAAAAGATGACCTTTATTTTATTAGAGGAGAGAGATGGTTTGTTCATCCGCTATTTTAAGAGAATTGATTTGGCCACCTATGTCACCAAAGTGCACTTATCTTTTTGGTCAATGGTCCTGAGAGAACTCCACAGTTAAGGGTGCTTGAGCTGAAGTAATTTTAGGATGGGTGTCCTTCCGGAAAGTGATTGTCGGAACTGTGTGAGTGAAGACAAAACACATGAAAAGATCATGTGGTGATTTGTATGGTTGGTAAACAAGTCTTTAAAGCCTCCCAGACGTAACGGACCGGCCGCCGGACAGGAGTGGACCCATGGGCCCGAGAAAAGACTTGGAGCCCATTGGTAGGGACGGTAGGGGTGTTACAAGTGGTATCAGAGCCGAACCAATGCAAGTGTAGGGTCAAGAGGGCTCACACCGTCGTGGGTGA